CGGCGGCTCGGCGTCCAGCCCCTTCACCCGCCTCTGGCCCCGGGGCTCTGGGTGCGGGCGGGGCTCAGGGAGGCCGGGGGCGGGGCCCCCGAAACCTCACCCTAATCTTCGCGCTGGGGTGTCGGCCCCCGAGCTTAAGGTTGGCTTCCCCTCGTCCAGCCCAAGAGGTTGGGGTCTGGGTCCGCCTAAACACGGTCTTAGGGCCGCGCCTCCCAGCTTGAGGCACAGTCCCCTCGGACAGTATGACGGGCTGGGCTGCTCGTCCCGAACTGGAGTCCGCGCGTTCTTTGGCCTGGGGGTGTGTCTGCGTCTCCCCGACCTCCTTGGTACAGTGGGCTGGCACCTGGTTTCAGCTTACTTGCCCAGCAGATCAGATTGGGTTTGGTGACTCCTTGCTCACAAGGATCTCCTGACTGTCCTACCGCTTCCACAATCCTGGGTGAGGAGCTAGGGTCCTGAACCAACCCCCAGACACAGCGTGTCTTTTGGAGTCTGTACCCCAAGCTTGGGTTTGGAGCCCATGTTCAGCTCCCGCTCTAGTCCCAGAGCCCCGCCCCCCTCCTGACACCATCCTCCCCCTGGAGTGAGCGCGGTATTAACTCAGCTTGCCCCACTCCGTGGGATGGAGCCCTGGCCCCTGTGTCCAAGGCCTTCCTAACTCTCTCTTCTCAGTCTTGGGTCTTGGGCTCTGTGTTCCTCCTCCCTCTTTCCCCTCAAGACAGCATCTGTGAAGCTTTGGACTCTGCTCCTGGGAGCTCTGGAGTCCACTTTTGAAGAATCAGACCTCATTTCCAAACCTTGGCTGCTTCGCTTGTACTCTCCTCCATCGTGGTCTACTTCTTAGGTCACATGCCCTTCCCACACAGCCCCCAGAAGTCTTGCTTTACATCCATTTTGCACCTCAGCACTGGCATCTGAGTCCCCCCTCTTTCTGCAGGTTCCTGGCTGGTTGCAGGGTATGTCTCTTTTTTTTAGGATAGTTCCTAGTGCTTCTCTCCTATGTTCCTGTCTTGGGTCCCAGATCTACGTCCTATAGATGTCACCCCCCCTCCTAGTTTGGGCTCCTGTTAATCCTCTTGGGACCCAGCTGGGAGCATCCCTCTCCCAGGGATGCTCCTTTTCCCAGGTACCTCCCCGAGGTGAGGCTCCGGAGCTCTTGTCCCCGAGTAACTAGACTAGGCTTCTTCCTTCCTTCCCTGAGTAGTTTACTCAAAGCCACTGATCCCAGGGAGGTAGGGGACAGGACCTTCCCAGGACCCAGGCACAGTCCCCACCCCCTTCTGGTCTCCCCTTCCCAGGGTCCTGACCTGTAAATATTTTCTTTCGCTCCTCCCTCTCCTTACATTTCTCTTCTCTTACCACTGGGATCTAAAATGCAGCCGTCAGGGTTTTGTGATTATAGGGTATTACCCTCCCTTCACCTCTGAGCGCGCTCCCCCTCTACCTGCACCACACATGCTTCTGTCTCTCTCTAGAGTTTCGAGAAATTGAGATTTGCCCTAGAGATGTGGAAGTCTGAACTCTGCAAGCCCAAGGTGGCAGCCTGTGGGCTTGAAGTCCCTTGGAGCCCTAAAATTTAACCTCCTTGGGGCACTGTAGGGCTGTGGCTCTGGTGTCTCGCCCCCACCCCAGCCAGAGATGAGGGTCTGAACTCTTATACTTTCCAGGGCCTTGAAATATGATCTGATGAACTCTACTTGACCCTCTGGTGGCTCGGGCCCCCCCACTCCAATTAAATCAAGTTGACCCTTTTTTCAAGTTCTCTAATCAGGACTACAGCCCAGCTTGCTCCGATCCTATGGAGCCTTCTTTCTTTTTTAATGCCTTGCTCTCACCGTGGGGTGCCTTCCACGCCATTGAAATGTCTCCCTCTTATAGGCACTTTCCCAAGTGTCTCAAAGAGCTGGAGATTTTGTCTTTTGGGGTGCAAAGTGGGCTGGTCTTAGGGGAGAATGAGGGGGGCTTGTTAATAAACTTGGAAATCTGAGAATTTTAATCTGAGGCCCCTGAGAGGAGTTGGGGGTGGGTGTCTGAGAACTCCCTGAGACAGTGTGTAGTGTTTTGTACAGAGCTCCTATTTCTTGGAGAGAAGAGCCCCTGTTAAGTTCCACGCAGCTGCTCTGTCCAGGCTGATGTTTCTCCACAGGGCTCGGAAGGCACCCAGAGTTGAGACTCTGGAAGCCGTTGGAGCCTGGCGCTGTTTATAAACACAGATCTGAGGGGCAGGCGGGTCAGGATGAAGCCACGGCAGGAAGTGATCTGTGAAGTGCTCAGGGCTTCTTCCTGAATGTTTGCACCCTGCTCACACTGCCCCTCCCCTCCCGTGTCAAGGGCAGGCCCCTTGGTGGTGGCAGCTGCAGAGAAATCCGAGTCGTGAACATATGGTAGCTTGAGGGGTGTGTGCTGCTGGGGTGCGTGCGCGTCCATGAGGCAGCTCCCGATGTCCAACCTGGTGGAAGGGATAGGTGGGGGGCAGGGGGCTCCCAGGGGCGGGACGATGTGTGGTGGTCAGACTCCAGTAGGCCAAGCCCACTTGCCTTTGGCTCTGTGGCTGGCGGTCAGCTCCCACATGACATTGCCTCTCCTCTTGAGTGCCTTGGGCCTCTTCCAGAAGAAACATCTTGTTTGCAAGCGTTTCTTCTCTGCTCAAGGTAGGAAGTCAGGGTGAGGGAGATGGAACCTCTTGGTTTTTATAGTATTCAATCTCTCTGCTTGGGTCCCCAAGCAGGTGGTGCTCTGGGGAGTGAGGGTCTCTCAGGCAGATGGGTGCAAGTGGAAATAGACAGCCTTAGTGGTCCCAGGTCCAGACGCCAGCCCTGCGGTTGACAAGCAGGGAGGCCTGGGGCCAGCTGCTTCCCTCTTGGGGGCCTCAGTTTTCTCACCTATATAGTGGGCACCAGTCCTCTTTAGAAGGCCCTTGTGGTGCTTGGTATTGGTGACACTCCACATTTGTGCAGGAGTGGAAGGAAGACCTGCACTTTTGTCTTGTGTCATTTTGAGCCCACCTGGCCATCAGCCGGAGCCTGGCGCTGGACAGCTGGAAGGAACGTTGGAGAGTTCCTGTCTTGGAACTCCTGGAGGGCAGGCCACTGCCAGGCAGTCCCAAAGGAAACATGGGGATCCACTGCACTCATGTGTTTGGTTTGATTTCATTGGCGGGACCCTGCCAGGTAACAGGTGTCAGACCTCGTTCGTCACTTTGCTGCAGCTCAGTTAACAACCTCTATGGCTGGTGGAGCCCTGTGGTTCTCAGTTGGGATTGACTCCGCCCCTAGAAGACACTTTGTATTGTCTGTGGGACGTTTGTGGTCATCATGAGTGGGGCTTGGGGGGGCTTCTCCCATCTGGTGGGTGGGGCTCTACACCCTGCAGTGTGCCCAGGACAGCCCGCCACGGACGATGATCCAGCCCTGACATCCGCGGCGCTGAGGGGAACGCCTGCTGGAGGTACTAGCAGACACTTTGATGGCTTCAGCTGTGTTCAGCTCTGAGTCAGTGCTGGGACAGCATGGTAAAGAAGAGCCACCACTGGCTTCAGAGTTGGGTTTGAATCTTGTCTGTGATGAGCTCATCCAACCTGGCCGAGGTGTTCAAAGGATCAGAATTAAGCATATAATCACATGCCCAGCTCAGTCCCCAGCAGGTGAGCAGTGCTAAGCAAGTGGTGGCTGCCAGCCTCCACACTGAAGGGAAGACATGTTTGTGACCGATGTTGTGTGAGCACTCACTCTGCTTTTCACCTCATTTGGTCCTTCCTGCATCCTAATGAGGTGGACCTGTCATTGTCCCTGATGAAGAGACTGAGGGTCAGAGAGGCCTTCAGTGTCCTCGGCTAAGGAGTGGCTGAGGCTGTTTATGAGGAATGAAGACTCCCAGTTCCTGCCCTGGAGATGCTTTCAGGGTTGAAGATGGGAAAAGAGAACCCAAAATAGAAGCAGTTGAGGGGGCAGTCAGAGGAGCTTCTGCTGCGTTGGCGATGCTGAGGAAAGTTGGAGGAGGAGGAGGGGAGCAGGACTGAGCTGGGAGGGGACATCATAGGGAAGGGTGAGCCAGCAGCCTGAGCTCGGGCGTGGAGGTGGGACCAAGCCCAGGCCAGTGGAACTGGGGCTGAAGCCACCATCTCCTGGGGGGCCAGCTGCTGACAGGGTCTCACTTCACTATACCCTCAGTCAGAGCCCAGGTGGCTCTGGAGAAGACCGGCGTCCCCTTGGTGGCCCCTCACTCTGACACCTCCCTCTAAGCATATGTGTCTGTGGTTGCTCTTCCCCAGAACATGGTGATGAGTTTCCGAGTCTCCGATCTTCAGATGCTCCTGGGTTTTGTTGGTCGGAGTAAGAGCGGACTTAAACACGAACTTGTCACCCGGGCCCTCCAGCTGGTCCAGTTTGACTGTAGCCCCGAGCTGTTCAAGAAGATCAAGGAGCTCTACGAGACACGCTACGCCAAGAAGAGCTCGGAGCCCGTGCCCCAGCCCCACCGGCCCCTGGACCCCCTGACCATGCACTCGACCTACGACCGGGCCAGTTCAGTGCCCAGGACTCCCCTCACAGGCCCCAACATTGACTACCCTGTGCTCTACGGGAAGTACTTAAATGGACTTGGACGATTGCCTGCCAAGACCCTCAAACCGGAAGTGCGCCTGGTGAAGCTGCCCTTCTTTAACATGTTGGATGAGTTGCTGAAGCCCACCGAGCTGGGTGAGTCATCACCTCCCCTGGGGGAGCCCCACCTTCTGAGTTCTCCTAGTACCCGAGGCCTGCCATGAGCCAAGGGTCTGCGGGCGCTTGTCCGTCCCAGGAAGTACAGGCGCCACCTTTGGGTCCTTGTGTTATTGACCTGTTGCTGTGTAACAATTTACCCCAAATCCCAGCAGCTTGAAACAGCCAACATCTGTTAGCTCTCAGTTTCCGAAGATCAGAACTCAGGAGTGGCCTGGCTGGGTGGTTCTGGCTCCGGGTCTTTCAGGAGGTCACAGTCAAGCTGTCGGCCAGGAGCTGCCTCATCAGAAGGCTCGACTGGGGCTGAAGGTGGGGCACTTACTCACGTGATTGCTAGCTGTTGGCTGGAGACCCCAGTTCTCACCATGTGGGCCTCTGTGGGCTGCTTGGGTGTTCTCCCAGCATGACATGGTGACTCGAGTCCCCAAGAACCAGTGATGGGGTTGGGGGTTGCTGTAGTGGAGGGAGAGAGAGAGGAGGTAAGTGTGTGCACACGTGTGTGTGCATGACCCAGCTGGAGGCCACGGGCTCTCTCTCTCACAACTTCAGCTTGGAAGTGGCATACCTTTGTACCTTTGCTTCTGCGGCACTCCACTGGTCACAGAGACCAAGCCTGGTACACCATGGGCAGGGGCTGTGCCAGGCTGGACCACCAGGAGGCAGGGGTCACTGGGCCACCTGGAAGAAAGGCTGGCTCCCATGCCCTTAATCCCTGTGGCATAGGGGCTGAACGTTCCATCCGACCTTCCCTCCTTCCCCTTGCAGAAGGCTGTTTCCTAGTGGGCAGCCTGCGGGAGTGACCTTGGTCCGGGGGTTCAGGCCTGTCAACGTGGGCCAGCCTGCCAAGGCACATCTAGGTGTACGCCCAGGAAGTGGGGTGCAGTCGCAGCTGGAGGAGGTAATGCCAGGGAACCTCGTATTTATGTTGACTGCGCGCCTGCTGTGTGGCGGCCCCCGGCCCCTCCCAGACAGCTCTGATGACAGAGCTGGGGGTGGATGTCATCCTGGACTCAACCTCAGATACTGTCTTGAGCTCCAGGCCGGGAGGCCGACTAGCCACAGTTTCTAGGGCTGGGGACGGGGTGGAAGGCAGCGGGGCTCTTGTTGCTCCTCCAGTTTTACCAGGTCCCTGCTTGTTCCTAGAGAACCCCCTCATCCATCCACTCACTGGTTTATTCACACGGCACGCATCTAAGCGCATGGAGCAGACAAAGCCCCCACCCTTGTGGAAGTTCCCTTCTCGCACCCCTTGTCTGGGGCCTTGGGTGCCCCCAGCCTGTGCTGGCCCTCTGGGTCCTGCAGCCCATCATGGCAAGCCCTGCGCACCGTGGCAGAATTCACGGCCCTTCCACCCACCCCAGCCACTGGGCCCCTGGCTGCGCGGTTCTCTCCCTCCCACCCTGCTGACCCAGCGGCCTGCCTTGCTCGGCCAGGGGCCCTCTCTGCACGTAGGCTTTAGTTCAGCCCCACGCCCGCTGGCCCTCTCTGTCCTGACCTAGGTTTGGGAAAGGGGAGGGGGACAACTGCCTATAGTCCTTGGACTTGGTGAGGGTGGATCAGAGGGGCTGTGGTTCCAGGCGAGGCTGCAGGAGGCTAGTGAGAGCTCTGCTGGTGGTCCTGGCCCTGGGATCTGAGGGCCCACGCTCCAGCCCGGGGCTCTGCCCTCCTCTGCTTTCTCTGATTTGAGCAGGCGTTTCTCGCCAGCCTTCAGGTGGGGAGCAGGTTGCTTCAGCAGCACCTGTTGTGGGAGTGACGTGGCAGCACTGAGGCCCAAAGTCCCCTCCCTGCATTTCTCCGAGATGACCTCTCCTGCCTCTGCTCCCCACAGTGTCTCATAGATGCAAGGACCTGTTCCCCCACCCTGCCCCTAGCAGGCTTTGAGGCCTCAGGACTGGCTGGCTGGCTGGTTCTGAAGGTCGAGCTGATGATTTAGGCTCCTAAGGACTCCAGCATGATCTTTGTAACAAGGAGTCTGGGTTTTTACTGGGGAACTGCAAGGCGGGCTTGGCGTTGGGCGGAGGATGGGGCTGGAGGTGACTTTGAACTCAGGGCTGCATCCTCCCTCCCCTGCCTGGACCGTGGGCTTCCTTCCTGCACGGCGAACGTGCAGTCCTTCCGCCCCATAATGCATCACTTTGCCCTGAGCCCCCAGGGACCCCGGTCACCTGATCTCCGGGAGAGTCTGCTCCCCTGTCTACACCAGGAATTACTCTGCTGGCGGCTCAGAACAAAGAGGCCAACCCCACCCTGCCTTTGCTCCCACCCACTCCCCTGCCCCATCCCAAGGTGTACGCTTTTCTCGTGACTCTCTTTTTTCTCGAGGACTCCCAGCGGCTGCCCGGTTTCCTAGGGAGGGGCCTCATCCAGCACAGACGCTGGCCCCAGAGCAGGCCAGCCTCTTCTGTTCCAGGAGAAGTGGTTCTGCCTGCCCAGCCTGCGCCCTGGGTGCCTCCCTGTGGTGCACTCTGCAGCGCTGGCGTTGCCCAGGCCGCTCTGGTGTCTGCTG